AGGAAATTCCCGCCAGCCCCGCACTGCCAGTTTCCGGGCCTCTCTGCCCGCCTCCCCCACTTAGGCTGCTGTTCCACACGGAGCCCTCCCGTCCTACCTCCTCCGGGGGCATCTGTACCCCCGGAAGCTTCCCCCACTGCCGTGCCTTCTACAGGGTTCACCCAGCCCTGACTCCCCTCCCAGATCCCAGAGCCAGCACAAAATAGTGTCCATTTCTGGCTTGCTACCTGCTACATGTTTGGACCATGTTTGTAGACAGCTTCCGTGGCTGGCTTTGAACTCGCTGTGAGGTGAGACAGTCGCCCGCCTCAGCATCCCAGAGTGTAGGGTTACGGGATTGTGCAACCACACCTGGCTGCATCACATTTTAAAAAAGTAAAACAGATGAAATTAATTTTAGAGATAAGCTTTATTTACTCCAATCTATCCTTCGTTGCAATATGCAATTAATATTAAATCATAGATGTTTCATAGGCTTTGTATCTCATTCCGTGCTCGATTGCTAACAGTACAATTTGAGTAAACTCTTTTGTTTGTTTTTTGAGACAGGGTCCTATTACGTCGTTCAGGCTGGTCTTAAACTCACTATCTAGCCTGCACACCTTTGGACAACTCACTATGTAGCCCAGGCTGGCTTCAAATTTATGGTGATCCTCCTGCCTCAGCCTCCCAAGTGCCGGGATCACAGGCGTGCTCCTGCATGCCCAGGGAAACAGTCTTGTTGCATTTCAGGGAAAAGTATTTTATCCTGTTTCTCTGATTAAAGCTACATTAAAATGAATTAAAATGGAATGAAATTGAAATTTGTATTCTCTTGGTCACTTATGCCCCATTGCTAGTGTTCGATAGCCACCGCTTCGGTCGGCTCGGCTCTAAACATGTTTCCTCACTATCTTGTGTGAGGACTGACCAAGGACGCCTCTGCAGATGTCGGAGGAATGGTGAAGGAATGGGCACGTGGGTGGAAGTGTGGTTGGCTGGAGGGTGACCGGGTGACGGGTGGAGAATTTCACGAATGGACACACGAATGGCATAGAAACAAGGGGTGGGTGGCGGGATGGATAACTGGGTGGATGCCTGGTTGGATGGGTGGGTGGGAGTGGATGATGGACGGGTAACGAGAGGATGGAGTGATGCGTGGGTGCTTGGACGGATGCGTAGATAAATGAGGTGGAATGCAGGGATGGTTGGGTGGGGGGTGGGGTCGGCTGCTATGTGACGGGTGATGGGAGGGTGACGGGTGGAGGAAGAATGGGTAAAGAGCTGAATCCGTGGCGGATGGGTGAAGGAGGGGATCAATAAATGCACAGAGGGTCGGTGTATTGGCCAGTTTGTCATTATGAAAAAAATCCACGACACTGGAATTTTATACAGAAAAAGTTAATTTGATCTCATGGAGCTCGAGGTAGACGGTGTTATGCGGGCTCTTCCCCCAGCTCCTCGCATCACGGGTGAGCGCAGCCTCTCTCCCAGCCCTACTAAAGCCATCTGCATTCATTCCGGGCTCCACCTCGATGACCTCATCGAACCTAATCACTTCCCAAAGGCCTCACCTCTACACATCACAGTCGGATTAAATTTCCACCTCCTAAAACCAGTAACAAAAGACTTTGGGGATTAAGCTCCCGCGTGGTTTCCGTGAGGTCCAGGAAGAAGCCCCAGTCAAGCGCAGCTGGGCCCTGGGCGCCGCTGGACCTTCAGCCCCGCCCACTGCCCCTGCAGCCGGCCTGGGCGCCCCCTGCCTTTTCCAGTGTCCCGGATGTGCAGGGCGCTGACCTGACGGTGGTGGTCGCCAGTTCGCTTTCCTCCCGCCCCGCAGTTCCCGAGAAGTTGCCCGAGGGCCTGGGTCCCGCCCGAGCCCTGTCCCCCAGTCTCCTAAGGGTCTTCTCAGCCCCGCTCCTGACCCCATGAACCCCAGGGGGCCATCGCTCTCTCCCTGTCTCCATGACGGTCCATCCACCGTAGCCGCTCGCGTCCAGGCACCACCTTTGGACACTGTGGAGATATAGGACAAGCCACGTCCCCGTGTGGCTGACAGCAAGCAAAAGGTTTAGGAAGTCAGACGGTGACAAGTGCAGTGGAAAAAGAACAGGTCAGGGTGTGATGTCGGTGGCAGGCTGTAGGGAGGGGACACAGGCAAGATTTGGGCACAGGAGACTGCAGAGCCTCTGCCAATGCAAAGGTCCTGGGGTGGGAATATCCCGGGCCTCGGTCTGCTCTCTTTGGCAGTTCCCTGTCGCTGTCAGCTCTGGGACAGCCCAGGCCCTTTGTCCTCAGCATCCCAGTGACCACACTGGGTCCTCCTGACTCTTCCTGTCCCCCAGGGCTGCCTCCTCTTCCACCCTGCCTCTCCCAGGAGACTAGAGGCAGCAGGGGCCGACAGCAGGGTGGGGTCGGGTGACTGCCCACGGGCAGATTGGGACAGGGTCATCACCCTGGGCTCAAAGGATGCATGGGAGAGCATCAGGGAAGAGGTAGCCCTGGCCCACGGCCAGGTGAGGTGCTGTTGCTTGGCTCCCAACATCAGGGTGTCCCCTGCCTGGCTGTCCTCCATCCCCAGGAGTAAACTGGGGGTGAAGGAGGACTCTGTCGGCATCGGGGGTTGGAGGTCCCCACAGCCTTAGATGCCAGAGTCAAGGCATGGGATGTTCCACACTGTTTATCCCCTGCCTGTCCTCAGCATGAAGGGGGACAGTGTTATGTGACCTTTGACACACTCGCCATCTCTCTGGACCCCTTTTCCGAACATCTTTGGGAGAATGACCTCTCCCATCTCCCTTACCTCTGCAATAATAATTAGTAAATAAAAATTTAAACCAGGTGTGTGACAGGAACACTAATCATCCCAGCAGTCCAGGAGGCTGAGGCAGGAGGATTGCCAGTTTAATGACTTAGTGCCACCCTGTCTCAGAGGGGTTGGGGTCCTGGGATACAGATTAGTGCAAAGGCCCTGGATTCAATCCCTAGTACTGAAAAAAAAGAACTTAATTGATTTCTTCTTCTTCTTCTTTTTTTTTTTTTGTATCTATTCATCTGACTAAAATTTCTCTGACCATTGAGAAGTGAGAAATTTCTGGGAAGATCCTGTCAAAATATTTGTGGTAGGTTTTTTTGGAGGTGGCATAATGACTTTTATTTCCTTTCTTGACTCAATCTCAGAAGACAGTTCTTTCCTTTTTCTTTCTTTTTTTGGGGGGTGGGTACTAGGGATCAAACTCAGGACCCTGAGAGGCAGGTTCAATGCACTGAGATAAATCCCTGGCCCTCTATTTTAGTTTTTTGAGATGGTCTCACTATGCATTTCAGGCTGCCCTTGAACTCACTATGTAGCTGAGGCTGGCCTTGAATTCTCTATGATCCTCCTGCCTCAGCCTCCTGAATGCTGGGATTACGAGTGTGTGCCACCACACCTGGCTTTGAGGGGGTTTTGTCGTTTTGTTTCACTTCTGGTGGGCCTAGGCTTGACCGGCCGACCCAAAGACTCAGGCCTAGGACCTGGGGAGGGGGAAGGGCTTGGGAGGACGGGACCAGTGGGGGCGCCCTCCCCTCAAAAAGCAAACAGTCCCCCCATCCTCACAACAGCCAGCCAAACAGGCACCATGCACGGATGGGAAAACCAAGGCCCGGCTGTCCACCAGGTGGCCAGACGCCCCTGGGCAGCCCTGCCAGCACCCCTGCTGCGTCTCTGAGCTCCTCCTCTCTGTGGCCTTCTCCGGGAGTCTGTACCTTTGGAGTCTCTGTGTCTATCACCGCCTGTCTCTTCCCATCCTGGGATCTTCCTGTGTGTCTCTCCTCTCCTGTCCTCGCTGTCTACCTCTGAGCCCCTGGGTACCCCTGCTGTGTCCCTGTTAACCCCTGGTCTCTCTGTCTCTCGCTGTCTCTGACCCGCTCTCGGTCCCTGCCGGGTCACCCAGGAGGACACAGTTCCTCTCCGGGCTCTGCCCTGACACTTAGAACAGCACCTGGCAGGCAGCAGGTGTTCCGTAAATCGCTCTTGAATAAATAAAAGTGAATGAATGAAGTCAGGTGTGATGGCACACGCCCGTTAGCCCAGAATGTGGGAGGCTGAGGTAGGAGGATCCCGCCAGCTTGAGGCCGGCCCGGGCTACAGAGCAAGACCCTGACTCAAAAACCGAAAGGAAAGAAGAGAAAAAGCGGAATGAATGAACGAACGCAGGAGCAGCCCGGGTGGATGGGCCGCGACCTGGGCGGCCTCGGAGGTCCCATTGGCTGGGCCGCGCACCGCCCCTCCGCGCAG